AGCGCCCCACACAGTGAGGACCCGCATTCAGTGACAATAAGAGCCCCTTTATCAGGCAGTTGCTGCCATGGGCTGCAAGGGACGGAGAACAGCACTGTGCAGAGCCTTGCAGAGAGCGGTGGGAGGGGAGGAAAGGCACCTGTTTGGGGGTAGGCAGGAGGGGTTGGGACAAGCTTGCTGCCTTTGCGGCGCTTGTCTGAGATCAGCCCCAGGCAAACAAAGAGACTTTTTCTCCCTTTGATGTCTTCATCCACAACCTGGAAGATGGCATAGGGCGCCCCCTCAGCAAGTTTGCAGATGGCACCAAGTGCAGGGGGGCTAGTGGATATACCAGAGGGTAAGGGTAGGATTCAGTGACCTGGACAAAGTGGAGGATTGGGCCAAAAGGAATCTCATGAGGTTCAACAAGGACAAGTGCAAAGTCCTGCACTTAAGACAGAGCAATCCCATGCACCGGGACAGGCTGGGGGCGACTGGCTGGGCAGCAGCTCTGCAGACAAGGCCCTGGGGTGACAGTGGACAAGAAAATGCATAGGAGCCGGCGGTGTGCCCTTGTTGCCAAGAAGGCTAATGGCATGCTGGGCTGCATTGGTAGGTGTGTTGCCAGCAGGTCAAGGGAAGCGATTATTCCCCTCTATTCAGCACTGGTGAGGCCACATCTGGAGCACTGTGTCCAGTTTTGGGCCCCCCACTACAGAAAGGATGTGGACAAGTTGGAGAGAGAGTCCAGCGGCAGGCAACAAAAATGGTGAGGGGGCTGGGGGACATGACATATAAGGAGAGCTTGAAGGAACTGGGCTTATTTAATCTAGAGAAGAGAAGACCGCGGGGGGGATTGAACAGCAGTCTTCACGTCCCTGCAGGGGGTTACAAAGAGGATGGAGCTGGACTGGTCTCACTGGGGGCAGAGGTGACACAAGCAGTGGTCTCAAGCTGCAGCCAGGGAAGTTGAGGTTGGATATTAGGAAGAACTTTCTCACGAGGAGGGCAGTAAAACACTGGGACAGGTTACCCAGAGAAGAGGTGCAAGCTCCATCCTTGCAGGCTTTTAAGACCCAGGTAGACAAAGCCTTGCCTGGGATGATGCAGTTGGGGCTGGTCCTGCTTGGAGCAGGGGGTTGGACTAGATGTGACCCCCTGAGATCCCTTCCAGCCTCATTTTCTATGTTTCCTCATGAAGCTAGTTTGGCCCAGATGCCTGAATACCCAGCTCTCCTTTTCCTGGGAGCTGCCATAACGCCCTGTTCCAAGTGATTTTTGTTTTCCTTCAGCGACTTGCCAACTCCAAAGCCCACACATCCAGGTTCATAAGCGCCAACCTCCCATGCAACAAATTCAAGAATCGCCTTGTCAACATCATGCCATACGAGACCACGCGGGTCTGCCTTCAGCCCATCAGGGGAGTGGAGGGGTCAGATTACATCAATGCCAGTTTTATCGATGGATACAGGTAAACGGTAACACTTATCTGCTTTTGTAGCAAGGAGTAAATTGGGCTGGGCATGCGAGTGCTGTACGTGGACCACTATGATGGCACGCATCCATTGCCAGTGTCTTGTGGACTGGCACATCCTATCCCTGTATTGCATCTTGTGCAGAGCCCACCACCAAATGGGGAGAGACCGTGTTTGATTAGCTTAGTTGATTAGCATGCCCCTTGGCGTATGGGGTTTTTCTTAACTTTTCTCCTAACTATTCCAGTCATTCGTGGTTATGAAATTTTCTGTCCCACAAAAAAGAAAAAAAAAAGTAGCTCCAGCCTTGGACTCTGCATATCACACAGGGCTGGACTGTGGGCAGCTTCTGTGGGAAACTGTTCCTGCCACTGCCTTTCATTCCTGTTATGGTTCTGGGATTTTGCACTATCGACTGCTTCCCAAAGGCAGCAAGTGCTGTGCCTTTTGCATTAAGAGCCTGCAAGCAGAGCTGCAGCTCTCCAGCAGCGATGCTCTGAGACTCCCCTGAGCAGCCTTGACAGAGCCCGACTGCCGAGGGGCCGGGGCCTGATGTTGACCCCCAGCCCTTCTGCCCCTCCCCTGGAGCGCTAGGCTCACAAAGAAGAGTTTAAACCAACCCTGTGGTGCCCAGCAAAAGAAGGATTTCTGTGGAGGGATCACACAGCAAGCCTTATTAAACTTCTGCAAAGATGAACGTGGCTAGCAAACAAATGAGAATGCAACACAGGTAATACGTCACACGACTATATCTAGATCTACTCTATCGCAGGTCGTGAACTTCAAAAAAAGAAAGCAGTCTTACCACTTAATGTCATGACAAACCCCAAATCCCAGAAGGTCCTGACCAGTGGCCAGCCTGCCAAGAGGACCATACCCAGAACTAGAGACTGAGTTCAAAGGGGCACGGGATCCATGAAACATCTGTCGATGGGAACCTGAGCGTTGGATGCAAAAGGAACATGTCTTGGATCCCTGGCCCCCTTTTTATCCCCCTCCATAGCAAAGTACACAAAAGGATCTGGTAGAGACCTTGACAAACACTGTACCGAGATGATGCCATCCCGTCATCCTGGTAGTCAAGAGGGTATATACTGACCCAATCCCTGTCTCAAGATAAGATGTCGCGAGACTGGGTAGTCGAGAAGTATTTCGCACTGGCGGACCTAGTTCTGCTTTTCTCATGCAGCTTCTCTTATCCTACCTATGCTAACTCATCAGTATGTAAGAACTAGGAGAACACTACACCATAAAAGTAACTTAACCTAACTCACCCTAAAGGTTTGCACGGAGCAGCAGCAGCTGCAGCCTGCCCTCTCCCTGCCTGTGGCCCCGAGACTGAAGCACCGCTGCAGGCAGCTGCAGGCTTCTGTTGCACTCACACTGTGCTAGCAGCAGGATTTCCCTGCATCCGGCCCCAGTGTGCAAGGGGTGCACTGCCGCCTCCTCCGTCTTGCGTGTGCATGCAAGGTGAGGCAGGACGTAGCCCTGAGTCCCAGGAAGCAGGGAAAGGGCGCTGAAAGGACGCCAGCACAAGCCCTGTTGATGCCTAGGGCCATCTCAAGCCTGGCGGATCTCTGGGGAACTGAATCCCCAGCATTTCCATACACCTCCCATCACTTCAGGCCTTTGTGGCTGTTCCCATACCAGCCTTCAGCCGGACCGTGGGGTAATTCAAGCCTCGCATGGGGCCTGTGCTTGCTTGCAGACAACAGAAAGCATACATTGCCACTCAAGGGCCGCTGGCAGAGACCACCGAGGATTTCTGGCGGATGCTGTGGGAGAACAACTCCACCATCGTTGTGATGCTGACCAAGCTGCGGGAGATGGGCCGGGTAAGTGTCTACCCGATTACATGGAAGCTGCCGCCCTGCAGCCGCGCGAGCGTTAACCAGCCTGTAATAACGCTGATCTCCTTTCATCTTTTCCCCCCCCTCGGCAGGAAAAGTGCCATCAGTATTGGCCAGCAGAGCGGTCAGCCCGCTACCAGTACTTTGTGGTCGACCCCATGGCCGAATACAACATGCCTCAGTACATCCTTCGAGAATTCAAGGTTACTGATGCCAGGGTGAGTGCTCTGTCGTCCTTCCGCGAGCGCTTTGAAGGGTGAACGCTATCCTCAGGAGTTGGTTAGGAAACTTGGCTTGCAAAAAAAGGCCATAAGCACGTGGCTGGTTTAGCTCAGCATAATGAAAGCTGAGACAGGGGTAGGATTGCCCGCTCTGAATACTTCATGGGAGTAAATGCCAGGGAGGGAGAATAGCTACAAGATGGACTGCTGGCACGAGAACAGATGCGTGTGAGCTTGGTTGGAAATGAAAAGGGGAGTGCACTGGAATCACCTCCCAATAGGTGTAGCTGGAGAGGGAGCAAAGAGACTCCTTCCAAGCTGGTGAATTTAGTAAGGGGATTAGCATAGAAATGTAGAGCTGGAAGGGCCTTGTGAAGTCCATCTTGTTCATCCCTCTGCACCGAGGCAAGTTAAAAATGCCAAGACCATCTCTGGTCTTAAAAACCTCCGACGACGGGGCTTGTACAGCCCCCCTAGTCGCCTGGTCCAATGCTAAACTAACCCACAGTTAGAAATAGTCTTCCCTTGACCCAAAACCTTCTTTTGAAAAAAGCTGAATGCGATGACCTCTCGTTGGCCGTGGATCCAGGGAACACTCAACCCCCATCCTCTTCATAACAATCCTGTCTGTGCTGGAGGGCTCTTTCCAGATCCCTTAAACAAGCCTCGATCATTCAGCCTTTCCTCCCAGATCGTGCTGCACGTTTCCTCTCCTCAGGACTCCCTCCTCTCTGTCTCCATCTGTCTTTACTGAATTTTCTCCTGTCGCTTTGAGACCAGCTCTCACCTCGCCGGGTCACTGGACCCCAGTTCTCTTTCCTGCTTGGCGCAGGGGGCTGCACCCAATGATCTTCCAAGGTCCCTTCCGGCCTTACAACCTAGGAAGCTACGAATTTTGGCCCCCTGAACTGTTGTAGTCCCTCCCTGCTTGCACGACATGGTTGCCTGACGGCGTGGGCCTGGCAAAGACCTCACAATAGGAAATCCTGGTCTGGGGTTGACAGGTGAAACGCGAGAGACAAGAACTGCACAGAAACATACTCTGTTCCTTTTGCTCGTGATGGAGACGGGGATCACAAGATGATCAGTGAGGGATTTTCCTCCTAGATGTCCCTCGGCTCCTGCCTTAGAAATCTTTTCACTCTCCCTTGAATCTGGAGCAAAACCAGCAACGTTGCCTCTGTGGATGCTTCAGCAGATGGTACATGCGTTGCTCCAGCGGGTGGGCCCAGCGGTGACCAGTGCGTCTTGACAAATGGACAGACAAATGCTCAGTGCTTTATTAGGTCTCTCTGAGGCTCGGTGTGAGGCGGCTGGCGAAGGAGCAGTAACTAGACTGTTTTGGACAGGCTGATGGAAGGTGCTTCATCACCGCATACAGCCATCCAAGTCCATTGATGCTCATTCATCATGCCTTGAACAAGGCTGCTGGGTCACCTTACAGATAACCGAAGAGGATCTATAGTGCGATATCTCTGTGTACTGTCTTTCATACGAATTGAACGCCGGCGTGTTTCCGTGGCGTCTGTATTCCTAGCGTCGCACTGCAGGGTAGAGAAATTAAGGTAAGAAAGGCTTTCATCGAGCGTTGCGAAGAGACAGGCAGTTGTGGAGGCAGGAAGGACTCTCGCAGCCTTGGGGAGACTGCGGAGGAAGCAACGAAGATGGGAGGGAGGTTGTGCTGGATCCACGGAGGGTTTTTAAAAACACAGGAAGGAAACTTTTGAACCATTTTCTGCAACAACCAGGGGCCATGGGGGGCTGTCCATGGATGGAAGTGCTATGGGACCATTCAGTGGCTGCAGGCTCCATGGTATTTGAAAGATTCAGCTTCAAACAGGCCTCATAATTGCTGTTTCCAATGGGTGCATGTAAGATCCTAGTCTGTGCTTCAATTTTTCTAGTACAGCAAACTCTCCTAAAGCTCCGTGATGGCTTCCTTGCTGCTCTGCCTCCTGGAGCTGATCAGAACCCCAAAATGTTCAGTTCCCCCAGGAAACTCTGCTCTGGAAACATCCCTTTGTCCCAAATCAGACCTAAAAACAGTACATCAAAATTTGGAAATTACCCACAACAATCCTGGGGGGGAAAAAATCCTCTTTGAAACACTGATGTAACCTTGAAGCACTCTGAAGGGTTTCACTTGGACTGTTGGGTTTGGGGGTTTTTGACAATTTTGTACAAAAAAAGATAATTGGCAATTTACCACCATTGCACAAGATCAGCATTTTCTGGCGGAACAGGTTTCCATCAGCTTTTGCTGCTTTGCTTTTGAATATCACCAAGAGATGCTAGGGACTGTTCCACTGCCCCCCCTTAGCTGGTACAGTTGGTGCATCGGGCTCTTCCTCAGGTATTTTAAGTATAGATCCTGCTCCTAGAAGACAAAGGGGGAGTCCACCTTTCAGAGGTTACTTAGCATTGAAGAAGAAGCCTCCTTTGCATCGCCTCCAGAAGATTTTACAGCCTTCCAGTCCCCTCCATGGGGAAGAGAAGAGCATCAAGCTTCAACAGGCAGTGCAGGGCTGTACATGTTCATAAAGACTCCTTGGATTTTTCTACAACCATGCGTGGCACCAGCCTGCGTGCCAGCCCCTTCACAGAAAGTCGATGGATGGGTCAGGGGGCTGTTTCCCTTCTCAAGAGCTCACTTATTTCTTCCAGCATCCAAAGCCATCGCCTTCAGTTGTCTCTGAAGATCTCCGAAGACTGTGTCTTGAGACCGCACGCATCCGTCCTGGAAGTCAGACTCACCTGCCTCTTTTCTACAGGGAACAAGGCAAGTTGTTCGGGCCGCCACCTTGTTCTGCGTTTGCACGGTGCGAGGCACCACGTTCTGGAGCTACTGCCGTCGTCATCTCTCCTTTGGATAACAACCTTTTTGAGGAAGGAGAGACAGTAACAGATGGCAGCAGACAGCAAGTGGTGACTTTGCAGGAGCACTTCAAGCTGGGTTCTTGCTCTGTAGCCTCAGTTCTCATCATCGGGCAGACTTTCCAAGCTAAAGTGGGTAGGACACCCAAACAGGATATAGCTTTAAGCCTTCCTTCAAGGACCTATTTGTGTACCAGCCACCTTTCGGAAGGAGAGCACCTTTGACATGCCATAGGTCACTTAAATGTGCCCACACATCAGGCCACCAGAAAAAAATGCCACTAATGCCTTCTTAGTTGAGAACCGTTTCCGCTCACCGATCCGCCAGACAGAAACACAAGCGCTGCCCCCCAGCCCTTTCCTCCTCCAGACAGCACAGCTGAAGCTGCAGCTCTGGTATCTGGTACGGCTTTTCCTTTCCCTTGCCCTGCTCCCTACTCTCAGGACCAGCACTGCTTTCCTTGCTGGCATGGAGCGGAGTGGTCTTGCACAGGTGATCTCTGGCATCATGCAAAACCCCAGCTCTTTCCAGTGGGATTACTCTATGAAGAAAGAGCTGCTGGGCGATTTAACCACCAACCTACAGCTCAAAGCAATGGAAGCGACCTCTCCAAAGTGCACCACAGGGCTGCAGCCCGCTGCAACGGGGTGGTTAGATCCTTACTGCCCTCCACCTACGTGGACAGCTCCCACGGGACCCTTACCTGTACAGAGCTGTACCCCTGGGCTATGTGCTCCAGCCCGGACGTCCACCAAGCGCCCGGCTCAGCTCGCTGGAGAACACGGGGGAATTTGCATCTTCCTGTGCCACAACAAGCACCTAACGAAAGCACCAACATCGCAAGGGGTGCGCAACGAGGCCTGCTTTCGGATTTTAAGTGCAAGGAGAAGTTGAGAGAAAACCACCGCTAAGACATAAGAGAGCTTTCACTCACATGACATTAGGTGCAACAAGATTTTTTTTTTTTTTTTTTTTTAAACCCATCGCAGGGAGGATTTCGGGACCTTTTCAGAATTCTTCTGCAAATACAGCCTCAATCTCCGCACAAGCTTCACATGCTCCTGAGGTCGCTGGCATTGTGTAGCCTGCTAATTCTATTTGCAAGGTAGAGAAGGATGTCTCTGGTGGGGGAAGATTTATCTTCCTCTGGAGTATAATTCTGATGCCATGGCAACAAGTCCTGAAGATTGATGGAAGGGCCATAACCTCAGCTCGAGTGCTGCGCAGCACAAGACTCCAGTCTGGGCAGTCCTGCAGTGCTCAGAGTTGTCCAGATGCTGGTAGTATTCAAGTGCAAGCCAAGAGCATAGATCTGTAGCAGAAACTCCCAGACATCAGCTACAGCTGGGTAATTTTTTTATAAATAGAGTCATTTTCTTCTGTACACACATGGGTGCTGGACTCCCGTGCAGTGCAGAGAATCTCTGCCACGATTCTCGTCATCAGCCGGGCACGTGGGAGAGCTGGTTTTAATGGCGTGGACACAGCCCACGTTTTAACTGCATGGTTTTCTTTCCCCCTTGCCCTGCCCAGGACGGCCAGTCACGAACCGTCCGTCAGTTCCAGTTCACCGACTGGCCGGAGCAAGGCGTGCCAAAATCAGGAGAAGGTTTTATCGACTTCATCGGGCAGGTCCACAAGACAAAGGAGCAGTTTGGCCAGGACGGGCCAATCTCTGTCCACTGCAGGTAGGTGCTCTTTAGCCGACAGAGAGCAGCCCGGCACCGAAGGAGGCGCAGCATGCGGCGCTCCTCGCCTCCTTTTGTAGCTCCCGCTGGCTGAGCTCGCTGCACATGCCAGGGACACCTGGCTCCCCTCCATGTCCCGCACCCCGTCTCGCTCTCCTCTGGGGGCTCTGTGCAGTCCCCCCCACACTTATCAAGGGCTTTCTGGGCACCCCCAGTCCTTCCTCCACCCAGGCCCCCACAAAGCATTATACCCTAGGCTCATGCCAGGTGTTCTGGGTTCCTGCCATGCCTAAGGCTTTGTGCACCACATCTTCCCCTACCAGTCCCATTTGCATTTGTCTGGAAGAGAAGTCATTCACGCTGCACTGGGAGGGGGGTAACTGGTTGCACTGGATGGCGTTGTTGGGTGCCCTAAATTAATTCTTTGATCTACAGACAGTTCAGCCCTGTTTGCACACAGCGCTCCAGAGCTGCTAGGACACAGACAGATGCCGGAGGGGTAGGGCCCCTGCACCTCTGCAGAGAGCTGCAGAGCAGCCCCGTTCGCAGCAGGATGAGACCGGCACATGCTCAGACAGGCGCTTGGCTCTAGCGAGAGCCATGCCTACATCCCGATTGGCTGAGCAGGGGATAATGCAGGGCATTACCTCATCGAAGCCGTGTGGATTTCTTTCGTTAAAGCAGCCGAGGCAGATATTGTGCATCTGAATCAGAGAGGCTGGTTGGCCGGGGAGGGGGTGGTGTTAAGTTATTTTCTTACTGCAATAAAAATAATTCCCCAGTGGCACCTTGTCCGCCCCTAAAGCTTTGGACATTTGCGGATCATCTGTTCTGCCTGGTTTAATGTATCCGCTGCTGGTAGGAGCTGCTGTGCAGGAATGTGACACTGGATTGATAGGCTTAGGCTCTCCACCTCTAATGCCGTGCTCCCTGGCCGGGGATGTCAGGTCACTGCTCCGCACAAGATCAACACGCAGGCAGGCATCCGCTTTGCTGGGCTGCTTCCTTACCAGAGTCCAGGCACTGCCTCACTCCCTTTCCGTCTCTCCCCCTCTGCAGCGCCGGAGTGGGCAGGACCGGGGTGTTCATCACGCTGAGCATCGTCCTGGAGAGAATGCGTTACGAGGGTGTTGTAGATATTTTCCAGACAGTAAAGATGCTGCGAACACAACGACCTGCCATGGTGCAGACAGAGGTAAAGCAGCTACGGTTGGACTCTAGGACTTGCCCCCTTTTCGCAGCTCCAGCTGTGTGTGTTCCCTGTCCACATCCATAGCGTTAACTTCACCCTCCCAGCTGGAGGACGACTGAACCTTTGTCCTTCCAGCCAGTGGGAAACTCTAATCCCATCAAAACCTTCAGGGAGGGACGGCTGGGGAGGTGGGAGGTTTGGTGGGGGGAGATCCTAGCAGCACCATCCGATGTCCAAGCCCACCGCGCTATCCGCCACCATGGATTTCTAACCCCAGCCCTGCACTCCGAGAGCACAAATGCTCTAGGGGCCTTATTAATCCTGGGAACGGAGTAAGGACGCTGACCTACTTTTAATGAAAAGCAGAGGAAGAAAAGCGCGTTTATGAACATCCTCGCAATAAGATGCAGAGATTCCCCCACTTCTTCGGCATCGTGGATCTCTCCCCGGTTCCTGAGCACGCTGCATCCCCTCTGGTCGCTGTGCACAGGCCTGCAGCCGCACTCTTGCCCTGCAGGCTATGAAGGGGTTAGCTTGACTGCACAGCTGGAAGGGATTTAACAATCGTTTCACAAACGCTAACTCTTCTTTCTCTCTCTTTTTTCCATTTTGATAGGACGAGTACCAGTTCTGTTACCAGGCAGCTCTGGAGTATCTCGGAAGTTTTGATCACTATGCAACATAAAAAGCCATCCGTTTTTGCAGACTGTACCAACCACTTAAGTCCTGGAAGGCCTCTTCTGACCCAGGAGGAGTGCTTGAACTTACAAAACTGAATCAGAAGAAGTACCTTTTCATTTGGACGATGCCGTGGGGAGTGGGGGGAAGGATTTGAAAGGCACGCCCTGTCAGGAACTCCATGTTGTAACCTGGAACGTGAAGAGGCAGCTCAGGAGGGTGCTGAAGGACTATTTTAAGTGGTGAACTGCTCTTGTTACCTCAAGTGGTGTTCGCTGTGGAGGATGTCTGGACATCATCAAAACTGATCCAAAAGCTAAAACAAACACCTTGCGAAACATTACCGCTGAAGGGAGCTGAGAGAGCTGGGGAAGGGAAGGAAGCCGGCTCTGGTTACATCATTAGAGTTCAGTTTATTTACTAATATAGTTGGCAGTCTTTAAAGGAAGTCACTTGCAGAGAAGGTGTCCTGTAGAAACAAATCCAATAAACCAGTCTCAGCAAACTCAAGGTCAGGAATTCTTCTAGCTGGAGTCTTAATAACCTCAGCATCATCAACCGGGATGATTCTGGGCTTATGGGCACCTTGCAATCGGCATCCACTGAGTGCCTCTGCCAGGCAGGAGGGTTTGTAGCTCACCTTTTGAATACTTGGAACATTCCTCATTTCTTCTAATTCCAAAATTTGTTTTTTAGGATATTTAAAAACGCTAGAGATATAAAATATATATATAAAGCACGGCAGTACTCCCAGGCTCTGGGCACAGACTTGGCTAGGCTGAGCCCAGGTGCTGTCAGGTCAAGATGGGTTTTCCCTAGCTGGGTTCACCGACCGTGGGTTTTCACCTCCTCTTTTCCACGCCTGCTGTTTCGAACGAGAAGTACAAAAACGCAGCGTCTTTCCCATTCTCTTTGCACATGTACCATCCCCTTTTTTTGTAACCAGCTTTGCCCGCTCCCCCAGGGTAAGGAGCATTTTTGAAAGGGCCCCTTACCAGGCCTGTTCCAGAGACGCTTCTGTAAGAGATTCATTCCTATTAAGGTGCTGATCCTTGCTGCCAACTCCTCACCCCACAACACAGCAGATCTCCAGAAGAGACGCAGAGACACTTCTGTGCCCGTCCCCGTGCAGTACGTCACCCGGGTTCGTAGGCACAGCTATGAACCCACACTTAGCTGTAAAATAATTTGGAAAGATCAAGTGAGCTGCATCCAATGGCATATACTGTGAGTGGCTTTCTTTAAAGTATCGATGTAACTGTAACAAGTGACATTACCTTTTTTTTTTTTTTAAATAGTGTATTTTTTCCTTTTTTTAAAAAAGAAAAAAAACAAAGAATATCGGTCAATGAATTTAAAAAGAAAAAAATTTGCTTATTTGTTCATATTATGTTCAAAGACAGTCTATTTTTTCACTGTAGAAATGTTATGTGTAATGGCTGTGATATATAAAAAAAATGCAGTGCAAATTGCTACTTCTACATATTGCTTTTCTACCATTTAAAAGGTTTAACTTGCTCATGTAAGAACAAAACGTCCGGTTTTTTTGGGTTTGGTTTTTTTGGGGGGTTTTTTTTAATCTCAGACATATCGAGCATCTCTGGAAGGGCGTGAGGTTAGCAGGCTGGCTTAGATGTCGTCGTAGTGCCAACTCGCCCCCACCCTCCTGTGGCCACGTAGCCTGCCCTTGCCACGTTCGCCGGTTAATTGGGAGATTAAACAACACCAGTGTCTTACAAGTGAAGTAGAAAGACAGGAATGTCAGAGCCATGGCACACGTGCGCACATGCCGTTTTTAAAATCATTCGACCAACAAAAACAGCGAGTATGGTAAGAGCAGCCCCTGACTCTTCGCGCACTGGGCTGCATAGATGATAGTCTAGCAGATGTGCGTGAAAAAGAGGAATCTTGTTGCCAAAGCGCAGCGAGGTGAGCATGTCCTGAAGGAGAGACCCTGCCCCAGAACTGCTCTCCCTCGACTTTTCTTTCGTTTTCTAGAGGGGTCGACATGGCCACAACCTGGTACTGCTGGGACGGACGCAACTCAACCAAACAGTGACCCCGAAACACCCAACCCCTTTCCTGTCTCCAACAAAAAAGAGGCTTCTTCGAGATTTTACTTCCTATTTGTGTGAAAGTTGCCCAAATTTCTAAGTATGTTGCAGCAAAATCTTAACTGGGAGAGTTTAGGGGGAAAAAAACAGAATAAAAGGTTTTGGTTTTGTTTTTTTTTCTTTGTATGAGAGCAAAGTGCTGTTGCTTTCACACTATTTCAAGCTGAAACAGTAAGTGGTTTTCATGCCACGGTGTATGTAGATATATTGACTTTGTATTAAAGGAAGATTGTCTGAAAGGACTGGCTGCAGACCCGTTTGTGGGTAGGCTTACGGGATGTACAACGACAAGAACCAGCGAGTGCAATAGCTTAATACGTTATTCAGAAGTTGGGCTGCTAAAGGGGGGGCCTCGGGACCTTGGTGCTAAACCACAAACGCACCTGCTGCGAGGAGAGCACCAGGAAAGGGACAGCTTCCGGGCTTCGCTTCCCCCGATTTGTTTAAGGGGAGATCTAAACGCGGGCCCAAGCCAGCATGTGCAGGCACAGCCAGGGAGGCGGTCATCTGGCTTGCTCTGGAACAGATGGCAGCATCAGTAGATTAAGCCACCAAGCATTTACCCAGTGACCTGAGCAGGTGGGTGCAGCCCACCCTGAAGCCCGGGCTGCTGTGGCTAGACTAAGCCAAAGCTAGCTCAGGTACGTCTGCTCAGGCTGCATGTACAGCTCCGGGCTGCAGCAGAGATGCTATCGAGGATCCATCTGAAGGGAGCATCTCCCTGTCTCTCTACCTGCCCAGGCTTTTCCTGACTCAGAGGGCACTGATTCTAGACTTGAATAGAAAGCATCTGCTGCTCATGAACCCAGCTGCCCACACACCTGCGCTATGCCGGGGTGACACTGCCACTAAGTGCCACTGACTGAGGATCTAACCCCATAGGCAAGAGCGTACCAAACCCGGATGCAAGAAAACCCCCCAAAAACCTTATATCTGGTAAGTCCTGGCACTCGCACACCAGGGGGACAGCGCTGGCCTCCAGCAGGCCCTTTGTATGCGCTCAGGTCAGAGGCAGATAGAGGTTTATCCTCTCCTTAGCAAGCCTGGTTTCTATAGCAAATGCAAAGCAGCGCTTACCTAGATAGCAGGGACATTCTGGAGCAAGGGGACTGTCCCCCAGAGAAAAGGCTGGCATCGCATCTGGAACCACCTTGACCTGCCAGAAATGGGGTCAATGCTGACCTAGAGACAAAAGAAGCTGGGGAGAGGATGTGGGCAATGAGTTGGTGCCTGCTTTCCACACGGGTGTGTGCCCAGAGACGAGTGCCTTCACTTGGACCTTTTGGGGGTCTGTTCCACACACCAACTTTCTGGGCCATGTATCCCTGTAAGTGCAATGCTGCCAAGTTCCCGTGATGATGACGATGACGACGATGATGATTATAAAAGACAGCCTATTGCACCCTGTACCTGCTCCCCCAGCCTAGGACATTGCAGAGTTGCTTGGTTCTTGTTTTAATTTCTCCTCCTCTCTTTATTGTTCCTCTTCCCCTTGTCTTGCTTTCCCATTCCTCCCTGTCTGCTCTCCAGGAGCTCAGCACACACCCTGCGTCGAGAAACGCCCACGTGGGGCGCTACCGAAGATCACAGAGGAGCGGTGACAGAGGCCACGTCTGAACAGCACCTGTGAGCAAGGCCAGACCAGTGCTCCAGCGCCGCTCCCCAGGCAGCGCTTCATCCATCTCCGAGCCTTTCCTGTAAGGAAACAGCAGGCCTGAGAAGGGAGAGACTGACCCGGTAGCAGCCCTGAATCCCAGCAGTATCCTCCACCGGTGCTGCGACTGGAAGCAGTTACTCTGCCAAACCTGACCCGTCGTCCACCTAAGCCGGGGAGCAATTTGTGACAGTGGCCAGGAGCAAGGGCTCCGGAGGGAGCTGCAAAGAAGCAGGCGAGGAGGCGGTTAAGGAATAACCTACCAGCGGGGATTTTCCTCCCCAGCTCTCTAGGTTTCCTTAGCCCTGAAGCAGCGCTGTCTGTGCCAAGTTGGACGCTTGGGTATAGCTCTTCCCTGCCAGCAGGTGGAAACAGCATATACCAAACAGTTGTCATTGATGTGCTGTCGCAGGAGGCATAAGGGAGTCGCTAAACTGAGTTACTGCTGTCTCCAGCCAGGCTGGGGAAGTCTGGGTCTCAGAAGATGCAACCTGCAGCGCCTCGGACAATGACAGCATCTCTCCCAGGTAAGTGGAGAGGTGCGTGGGGGGACCCGGGTGGAGAGCCCTGAGGGAGGAGTGGAAAGCCTTCCTTGCCCCGAGACAGGCTGGCCCCTGCTCCCCCACCCCGTTCAGACTAGACTCACTCTGCAAACTGTCTGCGCTCATGTTTAAAGACAGTCGGTGAGAAATCACGGAAGTGTTTTCAAAGCACCAGCTGGGCTGATGAACTTGCAGCCGGGGAGGACGGCACTGCGATGCCAGCGTCATACGGTCTCCATCTGCTGGCAGGGAAGGACCATGCCACAAGCTCCCGAACTGGCACAGAGGCAAAGCAAAGAGGCAGGCGAGTCTCCCCATGTCTAATCCTGTCTAATGCACCCGATTAGCCTCAAGCATTTATAGGAAGATGACGATGACGATTTTCAGTGCTAATAAGGCCCGTGGGCTCGCAGGGAACACGTGGCACGGAAGTGGCTGCGCACCGTGTAGTCCAGTCCCTTGGTTTTGCAGCCTGTGACTTTAATTGTCCCTTTCTTATCTTGCTAGAGAGGAAAGAGGGACAGCCCCCGTTCTCCCCATCCTCCTCCCAAGCTAAACAGGCCTATTCTCCTCTCTCCAGGCCTCTAATCATTTTCTTTCCTGAGCTCCAGCCTCTGATTTCTTCTGCATCTCTGCTGAAACGGCGTGACCACCCCCCACATCGCAGGATGTAAAAATCCTCCCAAACATGCAATAAACAGCAAACGGAGCCCAGGCGAGTGACAGAGGGGGAGAATTGGAACAGCAGCTGGGAGATAAGTAAACCTTTCCGAAAAACAACCAGTACCGTAGGAAGCCATTTAGGAAAGCAAATGTAAAATGAAATCCCAGCACAAAAGCAAGGCCCCTGAATGCAGAGGAGCCCGAGATGCACACGGGACACAGGTGAGAGGCCGGGCCTGAGAGAGCACCTCCACGGCCCACTCCTCCCCGGCGGTGCCAAGGAACGGAAGCACCATGGCTGCACATACCCCTTCCAGGTCTTGCACTCCTATTTTTATCTCGACTGAGTCGTGCAAAACCAAGGGGCGTTCAGGCAGGGGGTTGGACTAGATGACCTTGAGAGGGCCCTTCCAGCCCTAATTTTCTGAACAAAACGCCAGTTGAGAGGAAATGGTGTAAGGACACCAGCTCTCCAGCCACGGAGACGCCAGCTCTCCCAACTCATGCAGCAGATGCAGACAGTGGAGGGAAAGAAGATGCAAGGAGGCCACCCCGACGCAGAACGTGAGCAGCCAGGAGGACTGTGCTGTTCTCTGGAGATGCACAAAATGGAGCTGAGCCTTGCAAGAAGACGACCTGCTTGTTCATAGACGCTGTTATGGTTCGGGCTCCTCAGTCACTTCCCGTCACATGCCTGACCTCCATAATGAACCTCTGTGCCACATCTTTTGCATGAGGATTTCTGATCCACCTTGGATCCATCCTGCTCAGACTAGAGCAGAGATGCCATGAAGGCCTTCCAAAATCTCCATGCAGCGGTCTGGATAGAAGCTGGCAGAACATCTTCCTGGCGCTCATGAGCTGCTGTAGGGACATTCGACCGCCTGAACACGATAAACCAAGGTTTCAGGTTTCACTGAGCACCAGGTACTCCATGCACAACACACCGTGGTTGAGCAGCGATATTGTCCTTGCTGAACTGATCACGTTCAAGGTGGAGCTTTTGCTGCAAACTCTCGCTTCTAGGATACAATGCTACCAGAAGACACCACTGGCCTGAAACAGGAGGCACGTGTTGGTCACTCGCCTGCTTATTTTTAAAACCGGAATCCTATGTTACGGCCACCGAGATCAGTTTCCAGGGAGACGCACGGGAAGGTTTGCGACTACCTCCTTACTACGGAGCCAAAAGAAGTGGTTTTTTATCTCCGCCGCCTGACGGATGGCTCTGACGGCGAGTGCATTAGCTACATATTTGAAAGAGTAAATCACCGCAGGTTGTATTTTTTACCACAAAGGGAGTGTCACAGAGAGGCTGGAGATCTACACTGACATAACTCCGTATGGCCAAGAGCGGGTCATTAAATAGATGAGAGATTGGCTTTGCAGGGGAATCCTGACGGCAGAGCCTTATCTTGTTAAAGGCAGACTGTCGGGATGAGAAAAGGGAGGGATGGGGATGTCCCCAGGGCGCAGTGAGAATCTGTCTCCGTCAGAGGAAGCCAAGTTGCAGGCTGGCTTCAAGAAGAGGAGACTGGGGTGTGTTTCAGCCCCTGCCCCCAAAGCATAGACACCTTCAGCACCACTGACGCATATCAGAGAATCATAGAAGTCGGGTCGAAGGGACCTTGTAGATCTTCAAGTCCGACCCCCCGCCTGGGCGGAAGACTGGACTCAAATGAGTCCAGCCAGGTAGGCATCAAGCCTCTTCTTAAAGACCCCCAGGGTAGGAGCCAGCACCACTTCCCTTGGAAGTTGGTTCCAGCTCCTAGCCGCCCTGACTGTGAAGCAGTTCTTGCGGATGTCTAATCGAAATCTACTCTCTAAT